CACAATGATTTCTAACCATGCTTAAAATAAGTACAATTCTATCCGGATTACTTTATGTTCAAACAGAAATGCAAGTCAATGCATTTACAAATAGCTTTCGAAATAATATTCAAAACAGCTGATCAATGTTCATAAACATGATGTTTTGTCGTACGGAGCATGACAATTAATATAGGTTAAAATTGAACAACGTGTTTAACCTTATAATGTATTTTCTATTATAAATTTAATCATGTTTGTTTTTACTCATTTTTTCGTCTCTGACAATATCCACAAAATAGTTACTTTTAAAAGTCCTTGGTGCATCGCTGCTATGCAAATGTTTTATTAAAAACAACAGAGGTAAACGATGTTTTTGTAATTATTACCTTCTTAGTATGGACGATATTACTGTTGTTGGATTAATTTACTGATGGAATTTTTCCTTTAACAATGTTCTTGTTATTAATAGAAAACATTGACAGTTTGTGACACTAACAAAGCATAAATTGATTATTATTTTTCTGTTTATCATTCGAAATCACATAGAACACGTCAATAACGTTTAGTTGATCGTTATTACTACAAAATATAAAATAATTTTTTTGTTAAAAGGACAATATCAGGATTAAGAAAGATATTTAGAATATTAGATTGCCAGTTATTAAAGATAATTGACGAGTGAGACTATTATTATTCACAGTGTGACAAAATACTTGACTAATAACAAATTTTTTCTTCTTTCAATATTACAAGAACTGGAACACCGTTTAAGAAACATTTTTATCCATACGTTGTTTGAGCATATTCTATAATTTTGTTTCAATATTCAAAATTTTAACAAGAACTTTCTAAATAACTTATATATCTGCAATACTAATCATCAAGTTTGCCTTGCTAAATATATTAATCATATCTGTTTCATGAGTAATCAAGGTTCACAAGTATCTCTTCAAGGCTTATACTGTTGTGAAAATTATTCTGGAGTAACATCTTATCACGTAACATGTTATGAATGTTATAAACAACCCCTCCGCTAATAATCTGTATGCCAATATCTATCTATTCAATATTTAAAGATAAATTGATATATATCAACAATAGTATCGATCATCGTACTCAACAGTATTTTTTATTCATCATTTTGAATATAGAAAACAAAAACAGCACATATAGTGAAATAGAGTTTTTTTTTATAGTATTTTACAACATACGTTATATTATCAAGTCTAACCTTTTAGTATGTCACGTACATCCGAATGTTTAAGAAATGATGTAGACGATTAGTTTTATTTAATTAAGTTCTGATGGATGTAATCTGTCCTTATACACGTCCACATGATAACATATCTAAAGACAAAAATATCTATGGTTATCTTTTAACGGTAATAACATTTCTGAAATGTAAAATTCACAAAGTGAATCGGATTCGAATGATTGAAAACTGAAAATCATCATCTATTAAATATTGATAAATTTTTCGTGAATAAGATTTAACGTCCTATAGAGATAAGTGTAATACTACTGAATAGTTTTTTTAAAATTATTATTTTATATATGGTATCCTATCTAACAAAAGTTCATCTAGAATAATACTATTGTCAACGTCATATACTAAATACTATTTGACAGATATCATAGCGATAATCTTAAAATTAAATTCTTAAGATTAATCATGATACTAATGCGTACATATCGTCAAATGTCAGGATAATAGACAGATAAACGTCTCCAAAAAGACCTGTGAAGGTTATTTACAATTTGGTTTTGTCAGACAAAAATAAATATCGCTCAAAGAAATGCCAATATATAGCGAACTATTTGTCATTAATGAAAACAAGATTCTTTTCTATATAGAACGAACACACCATAATATAGATTTTAATATGAGTCAAAAATAAATATCGGATAATTTCTATCCATAAATGTATCATTTGTAAAGTTAGAACAGGTAGAAACGACATATTTTAATATATAAAAAGATTTTTTCTAGAAAAAAGCCTAGAATAATGAAAAACCAATTACTCAAACCAATTGTTCCGAAGATTTGAATCGGATGGAACTGGGATTTCATACCAATGTGAAAAAAATAAATAAAATTCATGCAGAGTCGCGAAAATATTCTTTTTCGTATTCAGCACACTCGATAATCCAGAAGATTTTTTATTTTTGACGAGCCTTATTGCCAAAAATTTAGGAAAATTTTCCGAGCAAAATAGCGAAAAATAGTTTTCATAGGAAAATAATATTAGTTTCAAAATTTCTCTTAAACATTTGGCAGTACTCCTCACTAAAAATAGAAAATCTTCTGGGTTATTGAGTGTGCTGAATACTAAAAAGCGCTTTTTAGCGACTATGCATAAATTTTATTTTTCTGTCGGTAATATGTTTGAAATCCTTGTTCCTATTTTCCGATCAGACTTTTTCTGAACAAAATAATCAATTTAAAAAATACTCCAATCAACATTGTGGAATTGATTTTCAAGAGTTTAGTCCAGAATCCAACTATCGATCGGAGAATTGAAACATCTTCCATAATAGTTGTGAGAAATTAATTTGTTCTTTGTATTAAATAAAGAAGTGTCATATAAAACAAGATCTGGGTAGATCCGTCCCCGCCTCGCTGTAATGCTAGAGTGTAGAAGGTAGTGAAGTAGATAAGTTCGGATTTCGAGTAGTTTTCGAACGAACTAGCTAGTATTCTATACAAACAATTACACTTATATTATAACTGAATGACCCTTTTATATACATTAGTATTAATAAAGACAAGTTTAATTACATACACATAGACACTGTGTCCTTTGGCGTATGCAATACACTTAATCGAAACTCACATACCATAACCGACATTGTCTATCGAGAATCGCTTAATTATCATTAGTGCGCCTATGACTCAGCTAAAAAAAGCAATATTTACGATATAACTCCTGAACTATCGCTCGGATAAAATTTCGTCTGCAGAAAGGGAACATCTACATACTATAACAAACATAAAGTTTCAAGGAACCATATTGTTCGGACGAAGCGTTGATAGAGAAGTGCCTGTGACAAACTTTGTATTTTGTGCGTTTTTAAATTGTCTATTTTACTAAAATCTTAACCTAGCCTCGAGCTATAGCTGCGACACAGGGTAATAATAAAAAGCTAAACTGTAGATGAGAGTTTAGTCACTCAAACTAACAAGAGACAAAATAACCTCAAAATTCTTGAAATCTAGTTCTTGAAGTTGAAATACTTTCTGATTATAAAAATACCGTTAATGTTTATATGAGTATAAAGTATTAATTCTTAAAAATTGTTCTTTTCTGTTTTTCAAGAGTGGACATTTCCATCGCTACATCAGACAGCTGTTATGTCTAATTCTCAAATATCTCTACTTCTAAATGAAATTCAACATATTTAATCATATTATTTTAAGTGTATTTGAAGACTTTTGAAAATCGTCGTTTCATTCATTTTATTTCTGCAGTAAAAAAAAAAACGCTTAACTCTGATGAATAAACAGTTTCTTGGCGAAATCTTGTAATATGGTATAGTAGCAGAGGCAACTATTGTTAACAATTTGAGATCAATTTCTTGTTGTTATTGTTGACTTGTATCTGCGTTTTATATATAAATGTCCCGATAGAATATCTCAGATAGAAAGAAAGAAAGATGTGGTGATGTTGTTTTTTTCAATTTATAATTGTCTAATCATCTAATAATCGCATTACAGTCCCTTATACAACTAGGAAGAAGATTAGTATGTTGTCAGTGATCTGTATATAATTAAATTTTTGACACCGACTTTTTCCAGTGCCGACCTTTGCTGTTTACAGTTATCCATTAAGATATTTAGAAAATTATAAAACAGAGATTGTAAGAAAATCAAATAGAATAGCCAGTGGGTATAAATGTAGAAACACTTGATATCACCTGAGTAGAAGAAGTAGATTAGCAACAGAAAAAAGAAGAATCAAGAATATCTCATGGTGTAGAAATACTACCAGTAATTTTCTAATGAAAAATATACTACGATTTAATAGTCCTGACGTAACTAAGAAAAAAGACAATAAGAGAGAAAAATAAGACTAAGTAAAAGAAAAGAATCAAAAGAGAAATGATACGTTAAACCAACACGCTGTGCAGTAATAGCGAAAAAAGAGTTTTCCAGAAAAATCTGATGATTATTACGAGAATTGATACAATAGACTATATTCAACGTATTCTCTTCTATATTTCTTACTGTTTTTATTTTTTTTCTTTTCTTCGTTTTTTTACATATAGTTGAACTTTTAATTCAATATTCTATTCAATAATATTAATACCCAAAGATAAACTACTACAATTGTCGAAAGAAAAGAAAAAGGTAAAGATCACTTCCGTAATGATCTATTTTACTCTTAGCTGTTCAATGAAGCTATTGAGACGCAAATAGCAGTAGACAATCACTGTTTTTGTGTCAACACAAAATTTTAGATTGAGTAAAAGATTTCTGATTATCAAGAAAACTGAAAACAATAATTTCTTTTGAATTGATAATAAGGAAAAAAAAACCTTTGAAATAATTTATAGATGAAAGAGTATATATATTCATTATTTATCTTTGTTTTGTTTCTCATTCGTCTGTAAATCATAAAAATTCACTGAGTCAGATTTTATATATGTCAGTCTGAGAATAAATACTATATCTGCATTATATCACAGAAAATAAAGTGGTTGTAAATTTATATTATTAACACTTATCGAGAAATTAATCAATACCACAAGAAGTTTTACTATTATAGTTCGTTTGAAATGTATCTCTAGTTCATTAAAACTAGAACAGTAAAACGAAATATCATTGAACAGTGTGGATGAAAGATACTACGTTATCCTGAAACATTCAAACGATGTTCTAGAAGAAAAAAGAACGGGGCAGAAACTTTGATAATGTACTATTAATCTATAAAATAATTTCTTTTTTCATTGTGTATTTTTCTTTAGCTAAAATTTGCTAATGAATGTGAAATTTATTATTCATTTATTTTAAAACCATTATGTTTGGTTCTCGTGCATTTACATCTGGTCAATCATGTCGAGGCTGTACATCTTCAGCAAAATTCACAAATCAAAATCAATCATATAGTGATAATTCAGGTATGATTCGATCGAACTAAAGTATCAATGTTTTAGAAATTGTGGATTATTTTACATCTTTTTCTAATCTCATGCTCAACATCATGAATGTAATACATTGAACTTTCAAATAGGCCTAATATCATTCAGTTCTTATAAAATAGATAATAAAAAAATTCATTTATGTTTTCTCTCTGTTCCCTAGGGTATTTTATCTAGATTTTTTATTGTTGTATTAAAGCGTAACATTGTCTTAGAAGGATAAGTCTTTAACTAAACGACACTTCAGTCGTAAGACTCATTCAAATGTTGTAAATAATTTAACACTTTTCTCTTTTCCTTTCAGATCGTCAACAATTGCCAGACGAAGAAACTGAAAATCATCCAAAACGAAGTTTGGCATGTGCAATACTGGTTAGTCTTTTGTGTCCGATTTTGGGTAAGTACGTCAACGAAAGGACAATATTCTTTTATAACATGTTTAAATGATAGCCAATACCATATAGCATAATATAGCCAAGTGCTAAGAATATTGTGGTACCAATATAAATATATCAAAAATGTTCCTAATATAATTGAATAATCTAATTAGTTCAGTTGAAGTTATAATGTCTTGGATGATCGATTAGTACGATATTTGAAGATAGGATCTTTTAAGCATATATACTATATTATCTTAGATTTTAATAGTCTAATAATGAATACTCATAATAACAAAAAACTTTTCGATATATATCTTGTCACGCACACAATATAATTAAAGAAAACTAGCAGACTTTCAATAACAGATAAAGAGAATTCTATATGAGATAAGAAGATTTAAATGTTGATAGCATTTAATCTAAACGAATAAATGTTAGAGAAATCGAAGGTCAAGATGATCCACCTTTCACTAAAGCCTATCTTAGTAAATGTTAGTGATTCTTTTAAAGAAATATCATCAGATATTCAGAATTTTGATACAATTCCGATCATAGGCAAGCGCACCTCTGGTTGTGACAGAAATAGTAGCGAAAATATTTCTAAATTTCTGAATTGGTTATTCTTTCTTTTAGGTGTGATTAGTATTTATTTTGCTATATTATCTGTTCGAGCTCAAAGTCAAGGTTATTTTGCTCAGTCTCAAACATATTATCAACGCGCTATTCGATGGTCATTAATTACATTTATATTTGGATTGGTACTTTTATCAACAATTGCATTTATTTTCTTTGTTAGAGCTGTTTTACACGTCTAATCATCAATGTTATTATCTGTCTATTTCTCCGTTCGCTCTTTATTCCATAAATAAATATTATTTTTTATTAAATTATTAATCTTCGTTATATCTATTCTCACTTGAATCGTTTACTTATTTTTAAGTGGAACCGTCACTACTTAACGTAAAAATTCAACTTCTTCCTTTTTTTTCTTCATTTTTGTTTTCATAAAGGAAATAAGTGAATTATTGTTGCTCTAATATATTACTTTTTATAATGAAACATATTTTTATTGAAAATCCCATTGAACTGATATGAAGTAGACATACTTTAATGCATATGAAGGTAAACGTGTGAAAAAAAGAAGAAGAATATTTAGAAAATACAAAGAAGATTTTATTCTGTTCAACCGTCACTAACATTTTTTACTGTTTCTTTTTATTATAGCATATCTATGTTTTCCTAATATTAATTGATTTTTGATCATACGATTTGTTCTTTAAAGTACCTTCATAATATAATGCCATTAACGTAAAAAAGAAACTTTGAAAATAACGGAAAAAGTGATTTCTGCTGCGCATTCTTTTTCTGAAGTAAACGGAAATCTACATGATTTTTTAAATTAAATTATTACAATGATGTGAAACAGCAGATTTCTGCTCAGCTTTTAGATAAAGAAGGATAAATAGACTATGCATTCCGATTATATACACAATATGTTGTGCACAAAAGATTTTCTTCTACATTTGATGGGATTTTAGCTGAAATAAATCTGAAGAACGATTGGGACAGCTGAGACAGTTTTCAATCTGATATGGTGCGTATTACGATTACTAGTAACTACACAGTAAAGTAGAAAATTAGTTATAGAAAACAAGAGCGATTTTCCAGGAGTGCCTCCATATGCATCCCTCGAGATTTTTCTTTTTTTTAAAAAATCCGATTTTCAAGCATGTGGAGATTCGTTCATTTTTTAAAAAATACAACCGTATTTTCTAAAAAGTCGAATGATTTTTCATAAAATTCATATAGTCATATTGTGAACTCACAGTCGATATTCTGGAAAATCAGTACTGATTTTCCAGAAAAAACAGGCAGGTTTTCTTACGATTTTTTAAGTAGAATATTCTCTAGGAATATTCTATAGGCACGTCTAGAAAATCGCGTATGATTTTGTTCAGGAATTATTTTCCAACTATTTTTCACTTCTCAGAATATGTCGGTCGATTTCTGTTTTGATTATAAAGTGTCTCTTTTCATCCATAAAGGAGTTGGGAAGAAACGTGGGGCCTTGTAATCATTCTCTATACCTCTTCTTATAGTACCCACAGAAAGTTTGGTTCTTAAGGTCCCCCCCCCTCTGTTCAGAAATATAGATTTTTCCATATTAAGCTAAGCACTTGGTTGAAGAGCCTAAGATACCTATTTTAGAATCCATACTAGTTGTGCCAATATGAAAGGTTTCTGGAGGATTTTCAACAAATCTTCTTAATGCCCTAGAAACACGATTTTTCTGACATTCTGATATTTCAATGAAATGTCGGAATTAAAAAGGATTCTAATGACTTCAGTTCGTAGAGTAAAGTTTTGTGGTTAAAATGAGACGTTTCCCAGCATCGAGCGATACTTTGATCAAAAGTTATGAATTTTATTAAGAGCCCAAAAACGTGTGTCATAAAGTAGCACCACTATATTTAACAGCTTTTTCCTACGTGATAAATACTGTCGGAAAGTCAAATTAAGCGCTAGAGAGCTCGGATTGATCTTAAATTGAACCTAAGACATATGGGAACAACATAAAAGAGCCCGCTTTTTGATTTAGGCCGTCATTCTTTTACATTGTTGAAAGTTATACAGTGGTTTTAGCGCTTTTTTCGTACTTTTGAGGTGAAAATTCTTCGGAAAATAAAACAAAGAATCCGGCTCTTTTACCTTGTTACTCTAACTTCATTTTATATTTTACAACCAGCCCGAGCTCTCCAGTTATTTTTTGAGAGAAGAAATCGGCCAGACCGTAGATGTAAAGCCATTCATGTAAAGTCACGGACAAAAGTGATTAGCTACTATGTAGCATGCAGAAAAAGCCCAATACTGTTCGGTTATTTCTATTACTGTTCTTCTCATTTTATCTTTAAAATATTTAAACAAAACTACATAAAGAAAACGAAATCGTGTTAATTTCAGTCATTTTTGCGGAAACGTTTTTTTGAATAACTACATACTCTGTAATACTGCCTTCACGATTTAAATCTGTGATGCTACCATCAGCACCGAAAACGATGGACCGGTTTCCCTGAGTTATCAGGTAGGTCAATTTTACTCACAAAACTTCACACTTCATTCCACTTGGCTTGTTAGTCTGCTTTTAGTCACAAAACAAGGTTGTGCGAATTAATATTCCAAGACTTCCATTATAAACAGCCGCAAACAAAAAAGAGAGACACGCCTTATATTTTTTGCTCTCGCACAGTGAAAGAACGTTTAAGTTAAAAAAGACCGACACCAACACAGAAGTGAGAATATCAGAAGAAAAGCTCCTTAACAAGAAATCTATTTCTTTAGGTCACATTTTTCCAGTCGTTCTCACGTTTCGAGGGTCCTTGCCAAAATCTAGCTCTACTTTTCCAACTCTTTAAAAATTTGAAACTCTACTCTCTAAAAAAACTCCGTACCTTACAAAACGAATATCGGTTTTGACATTTACTCCTAATAGAAACTAATATCCGTATCGTACATTCCTGCTTAATCGTTTTTCAGAAAACGCTTGAACCATTTTTGCCTCGTGAATAAAGGGATTTAGGTTTTGTACTAGAGAAATAGTATTTTTTCGATGAGCTTTTCTTCTTGAGATGACTTGAACTATGCTTTCATTTTCTACAAGAACTGAATGGTTTTTTAAGCTCATACGAAGTAAACTGTCGACTGAGTGACACTCCTCTTTTTTGTACTCACTTTGTACTTGCAGTATGAAGTTTATAAAGCATTACAGTTTTACGGTTG